AATAAAATTTCTTTAAGCAAAACTACAATGGTATGATAGGGGTTCCATTAGGAATATATGTGACCTGGTATACGGAAAGGGGGCTTAGGTGTCAAAAAATCTTAGTTAATTCGGATGGAAGATGAGATGCTTTTTCACGTGATAGAATCCAAAAAGTCATAAACTAGTTTTCGCACGTTAGCTCCCTTTTCGTAGACCAGGTCACATACATATATGTATAAATATTTTTTATTTTTCGTGTGTGTAGAGAAAAATGTTACCACCCCATTTTTAATGAATTAAAATTCTCTTCTTTCTAATAGTTTTCAATATTCAACGAAAATGGTATCCGGTCGTCCCATACTATATTTGTCATTGCCGGGAGTAGTATTCATTCTCGGTGTTTATTGGTATCGACGTCGCAATAAAAATCGTTCAAATGGAGATACAACTGAAAAAGAACCAGAAAACTTAAATGCACATAACTCAAAAGAATCAAAACACCAAATAAATGGAAGTTTTATGCAAAACAAGTCACATCCATTACCAAGTGATTCAGTAAATATAAATAATAAAAATGAAGGTGAAGAGAGTCCAACCGTCAGACTTTTTGGTAAATCAGCTCCAATCAAAATTGTTCAGAATTGCAGAGGTTCGCCTATTAAACAACAACTGGTAGTCGATTCAGAGGTTCTTAAAAACAAAATACAAAGCGCTGAAAATAACGTACTTCGCTCCATCGATGAAGACTTTGAAAACTTATCCTCACCAGTTGATTTGCCAGATTCGGTGAATAATCGTATTGCCTTTTATTCCCGTAATGTGAATTGTAAAAGCGATGCACCTGTTGTAATAAAAGCTACCCGTACACCAAAAATCTCACCTGAAAATTCTTTCCTTGAAAATAAGTATACCAAAGAATGTGAAGAAAATAATAATTTAGATCTTATAGAAAATGTAAAAAATAATAGTGATGCAAGAAATCAGCAAGGACATCCAATTCAATCGTCCACCAATATCGCACTCGAAACTACTGAACAGAGTCCAATTCTGGAAGAAAATTTTAACAAAGAGAGCGCAATGAACATCTCTTGTCAAGATGTTGATATTACGGAAAATGGGAAACGTAACGTAGATGCTGCCAGTCCATCATTGAGTTTATGCAGCGTTCAATCTGGCGATTCAGGAAAAGGTTCAAGTTTACCCCGATCCGAAGCAAATCGTGCCAAATCTACATACGAATTCTTTCTGCCAAATAGTTTTATAGGACACCTTTATGGCAGAAAACATTTTTTTATAAACCAGATCAAAGTCAAAACTTCGGCGAATGTACTAATACGCAAAACAAATTATGCTGGAAAATTGGTTTGCATTTGCATTATCGAGGGTTCTGAGAGTGAAATAGAAGCTGCTTTGGCAATGATAAGACAACGCCTCCCTACAAAACGTTTTCCTAATTTTACTATGAATAAAATACAATCTGCATCTCCTCAAACTGTAGTTCCTTTGTCTGCAGACAGTTTACTTAATTTACAGGCAAGTGTGTAATTATGAAATATGTTTTATATGCTTGTATTATCAGCAACTGACGATTATCTCCTATAATTCCTATAGCTTAAACTGATCGAAAACATTAATAACGATGTAATTGTTACTGCTGTAGTGAATGGCGCACACATGTTCGTGCAACATCCTTTACATCCCTCACATCCTTCTCTGACTGTTCTTCAAAAGTGTTTGTATGACAGCTACACTTTGAGTGAAGCACCGTTGTTGCCTGGTATCGAAATCAATGCAGTTTGTGTACTCCCAGTAAAAGGAATTTGGTATAGGGTACAAATAGTCGAACAAGACGCTGAGGATAAGCAGCGTTGTGTAGTTAAATTTTTAGACTTTGGAGGCTATATGAATGTACATTTCAATGAATTAAGGCAAATTAGATCAGACTTTATGTCTGTACCATTCCAAGCCACAGAATGTGTTTTGTCTAACGTGGAACCGATAGGTATGTACATAAGTTAAAAGCATATATATTTTTATGTTAATATGATCTTAAATAGTGTACAGTCAGAGTAAAAAGAAAGTGTACAACACTTGTTTTCTACATACTACATTGCTTGATTTATTTAAGTTTTCCTAAGTGATATAATAAAACAATTTATAGGTTTAAAGGTTTTAAAAAAAATGTAATAAACATGTGTTGTACACTTTCTTTTAATGCTGAATTTATATCACACAATTATTTGTCTAGACTCCATGTGGTCATCGGAAGCTGTAGATGTATTGTGTCAGCTAACTAGAGGAATTGTTTTACAAGCACAGGTAGCGGGATACAATAGCCATAATATACCGGAAATTTACTTATATGCTTACTTGGGTCCTGGTGTAAGTATATTGTCATTTTGTCCATTATTTTTAAAAGAAATTAAGCTAATTTGAAATTAATTTGTGTTCTGATAAATGTAAATCAAAACGACGATTCCAACAATAATATTGTATATAAAATATAAGTTTCTTTCATATTAATATATTTTATATTATTAATATATAAATTATATTTGCTTCATTTCAGAATATTATTTTCATAAACAGGGAACTTGAAGCAAGAAATCTAGCTAAATGGGTTGAGTTGCGAGACTGATTCAAAGGAGTAGAAAGTTTTTGTAAAAACTGTTAATAGAAAAGCCACAATTATCATATAATTATTTTTAAATATTTAAAAGAACAAAACATCGCTATTTAAAATTTAGAAATAGTAAATGTATTTCATTAGGTAAGTTATTATGCGCATAGATTATAAATTAAATCACTTATAGGAGTTGTGAAGAAGGCGTCGTTGAAGCATCATGCGTCATGACAATAGTCATTTGTTTCAAGTGAATAAACCTGTTGTAAATATGGAAGACATAAAAATTAAAAAGCGAAAATTGTGGCGATATATACATATATCTAGGAATATAGCAAGCAATAGAAGGCTCGTATTAAATCTGCCGGACAAAAAGTTTGAAATAAACTCTTGTACATATATATATATATATATGCATATTAAAATATTATTTATGTTATAAATAATACAGTTTTAGGTCTCTTATTGATGCATAAAAACATGTTTTAAACATAAACTTATGTACGTATATTTTTTTACCAAACATAGAGAGAACTAAAAAAGCAGCTACTTTTGCTATAATTTTCTGAAAGGCATTTTGATGTAAATGAAAATAATTGGAAAAAAGTAAACTGTTGAAACATTAAATATAATTTTAACCGGTATTTTCTTTTACAGCATTTGTGACTTCAAATATTGACTGCCTTTTTATCGATTTATTTACTTATTTGAGTATGTTGCATTCTATCCAGAATGAAATTGCATCAAAATGTCTCCTGTATATTATAACTGAAATTTATAATTGAATATGTAACAAGGTAAAATAATATTTTCTTAAGTAATAATTTAGACCATTTAAGTAAATATAAGTAGTACGCTAAACTGTAATGTATAAGTAATTGTTCAGTTATTCTTCTAAAATGTCGTATTTATTTTGCACCTCAGTAATGCCCAAATGGCATGTTTTTTACCAGAATGAAAGCCCATTAGCCTTAGTGTTAATTATTGTTTGATTCAGCTTAGTTAGTTTTAAATAAAAATTGTTAGATTTATATTTATTCATAAAGTGATTTAAAGAAACGTTATAATGCTGAATTGGAGTACACTTATAATAAAACAATGGAGATTTAATATTCTGAAGATAACATAATATAAAGCTTTGGCCATAGTTCTTCTGCACTTAAGCAAATTACACCGATAGCTACGCAGACAACCATACATTTCTTCATCTATATTTTATTTATCGAAAATTGCTAATATTTGTATCTACCATGGATTGTGAGGCCTACAACTCAAGTGCTAAATGTTATCAAAACTCAAAAAGAGTAATTAAATAGGCAGTAGATATCAGTTGACTCAGAAATAAATAATAAATATAACGTTATTAAATCATAAAACTCTTCTTTTAATTAATATTGGACACATTAAAACATTTTAACTTACTTTTTAAATATAACTTTTTTCTCAAATACTTACTATTTTTTGCTATTGCTATTACATATTAAACTAAGTAAGGAAGATTTGGGTTTAACATGTGCGGATAGCTATGATTTCCCTTATTTTTGGCACAGGGCTATACTTTTTGTAGAGGGCCTAGAAATATTTTCTGAATCTCTTACAATATTTCACTTATTTTGCTTAGCTATTCAATAGCTCAGTTTTCAGTTGGCAGTTGGTGGCAGATCAACTGTGTCAAATCTTTACTTGTATGTCAACTATATACTCAACGCACTGAATGATGGACAAAAGTACATTCAATCTACACCGATTTTGGTAAAGCTTTTGACCGTGTTGACCATATGATACTCGTCTCAAAACTCAATAAATATGGCGTCAATAGCATCGCACTGGATTGGCTTAACTCATATTTAACTGACAAGTTCCTACAAGTCAGGGTTGACGGACATCTGTCTAGAGAATATGAGGTCAAATCTGGAGTTCCTCAGGAATCGCATTTAGGACCACTACTCTTTAATATTTTTATCAATGACATTATAAACAATATACAGTCTGAATGTCTGCTATCTGCCGATGATTTGAAAATCTTCAGAATTATTTCTAACGATTCCGATGTCACACAACTACAACAAGATATCGACTGTCTAACAACCTGGTGCCTTAAAAATAATCTCGATCTCAATGCGAAAAAGTGCGCTGTCGTATCCTTCTCACGCTCTCATAACAACATTGTCACCAACTACAAACTCAACAACGAGTATCTACAGGAATTAACAGAAATCAAGAATCTAGGAATTATTATAGACAACAAACTCACATTTGCAAAGCATATTGACAAAATAACTGTGCAATCTTTTAAAGTGCTTGGACTCATCATTAGAACAGGAAGGGATTTCAACAATCCGAACTCTCTCACACTATACCGTTCACTTGTACTGCCAATACTAGAGTATGTCTGTGTAATCTGGTCTCCATATACTGATGCACTCATCAACCGAGTTGAGAGAATTCAAAACAAATTCTGCAAGACATTGTTGTTCCATCAATCGTTAAGGATGCAGGGGCTCTCCACTGAGGATAACCGCTCCCGTTTCAGACTCAACAGCTTAACCTCGCGTCGGAAGTCTCTGATGCGGTATTTTTCTACAAAATAGTCAACGGTCTGATTGACTCCTCAGAAGCACTCAGCAGTTTTGAGCTTGCTCCTACTAGCCTCCCGCTCAGGCATAACAGACCGTTAAAAACAACAAAGACTCATCGAAACTACGTATACCACGGACCAAATAATAGGATTGCTAATCTTGTAAACTCATTACACGCAGACATTGATTTTTATGGAGGGACATATCAAGCTTTCATCTCGCAAACCAAAAATTTACTGTTTATCTACCACTAACTCCTTACTTACATTCAACCGATTGTGTATATATATCACTTTCCAAATTCTTATCTCTATATCATTTTGTATATTTTTACTAACTATTCGATGTATAAAGCCGATTGGCGTATGGCTTAGTAAATAAATAAATAAATAAATAAATCAAAACGACTGCTTTAGAATGGTTTCGAGTTTTTATTGTCCGTCCGTCCGTCCGTGCAAGCTGTAATTTGAGTGAAAAGTGAGATATCACAAACTTGGTATACATATACAATAGATTCCTTGGCAAAAAAGTAAGGATTGGTTCGTTGTGGTCGCTATATCGGGTACCTAGTCACCGTTGGGATGTATTTGTTTTAACGGTTTCTCAATCCCCGTTAGGATGGTAAGGGTTATCTATGTTGTCGTCGACGTCATCTACGGGAGGCCCAGGAAACGTGCTGTTTCGACGGATTCGGACCAAAAGGAAAAGGGTGTTAGATGAGTAGGGAGAGACTCGTTGCATATAGGACATACACTGGATATGTCGTGGTCTATTCTGGATAAGTAGGAGTTAAACTACTACAATATCCAGAACGAAGCTGCGCTGGGGTCACTCGCATTTCTCGCGGCAACTTGAGCTCTTCGTCTGCGATGGGTGGTGGTTGGACTCCGAGTACGGGAAGACGGTGAAGGTATTGATGGCTCCACTGTGATTGGTGGTCAGTGCTTGTCTGAAGTTTCTTGCGTCCAAAGTCTGGATGGTATAAGTCTAATGTCGCATTGAGTTGTCGACTTGTTTTCAGATACCATTAAGTCTTGTTCTTCAATATCTCTTTCTGTAAAAGATCTATGTATTTCTTTCCTCAAAAGTAATTTCTTCTACGCGCAACTCACCTTCTCTAATATTTTCAAATTGCTTTTTTTTTAATCTTTTAATAATATTAGTGACATCAACACTAAAATATGAATTGTTGTATTGGAGTGTCAATTCGTGGAAATATCTTTCCATGGTGCTCCATAAACGATCTTCATATCTTTCAAGTTCATCTTCGTCGGCAGTATACATTTTTATTTCTGACTCTCCAATAATAGATCGAATATATGTCGATCTTTTTACAATAGTCTGTTCTAGAAGGTTTATTCTATTGGCAGTTGGGCTATTTTCTCTAGCCCCTGTGTCCATCTCTTTGGACGCTAGTTCCATTGTGAGCTCCTGGACTCGCTTCCTACCGACGTTCGCCAACGGTCACGTCCGTAGGAATGGGTAGAGCGTTGAAGGTGTTCTCAGTAAATTCTGTGAAGCCGACCCAGTTAGCTTTGTTAAAGCTAACAAAGGTACGTTTGTCCAGCAAAATTGTGAGGTTTCTTGATCAAGACAAGTATGGGCAGGTGGTCTGATGCAAGAGCTAGCATAAGCCGCCAGGTTATGCCATTTATCAGACCACCGCTAGCAATGTTAATATCGGGCGAGCTATTATAGGTGCTCATAATTGGAATATCGTGGTGCGCGTTAAAGTCGCCTAGTACCAAAGGGATTTCACTACGAAGTAGCGCACCTATTTTCGGGTGATATCCTGTAGGGCAACATGTAACTGCGGGGATGTACATATATTAAATATTTCGAGCTCGACATCGTCTGACCAGATTGCTATACCCTGATATTCTAGGGTAGTATCCCTGCGGTCGATGTTTCCACCGATTAGATGATATTGCACGGTGTTGTGCAATGTGAAGACTAGGTCTCCACCACTATCTCGCTCGCGACCTTTAAGGAGAACGTTGAAATCGGCACAACTCAGAAGATCTGAGCGGCTGTTTAGGTTGGTTTATTGGACGGCAGCTGTCGGTACGCATTCCCGGTTCATAAGTGCAACTAACTCCTCGATCTTCCTCCGAATGCGTTGCAGTTAAATTGTAAGATGCGAGTTTTTCGCATGTGTTCGTGGGTGAAGAAGTGGAATGTAGGTGGTGTTTGTTGCAGCTGTAGAACCCGCACGGTGGTTTTCGCAGTGTGGTTTGCGGGGCAGACTCCTACAGCACGGGGCAACATACAACACACTCCACTCACGTGCGGTCCGCAAGCCGGAACACTCCAGGAAGTGACACCAGCCAGTATAAGAATTGCGACTGATGTAACGTTCCGACGTATGGCAGTCTGACACACGGAACAGACTGTGCTAGGAACCAGGAGTTGCTGAGTGGTTCACATACGAGGATTGGAGCGGGATAAAGGTTGGGGACAGATAAAAATAGAAGTCAAGTTGTCTGTTGGAGCTCCTATGGACAATGGAAGTCCTCTGTTGGCCACTCGGGTGGAGTGACGGCGCAATGTGCAAACTATGTACAGGTTGCGCAGCCGTAGAGGCTAAGGTCGCAGTAGTGCGGTGGCAACATGGAGCCACGTAACTTGCGGTACGCTCCCTGTGAGTCTGAAGCCTTGAGTAGATGTTAAGATGGCTCCACCCATTGAGTGTATTACACCAGACCGAGTTGGAGTTTTAATTGGGGCAAAATTTGACCAAGCTCCCGTATGGTTGGTGATTGGATGTGAGGAATCTTGAAAAAAATGTTAATTGTATATAGTCTTGGTTAAAATAGATACTACACCCAATTCTAACAGGTTTTGAGCCTATATGCTCCATCGAATGGGATATTCGCCGTGGCCAAAGCGTAAGGACCTTAAATCTTTCGCAGAACCTTTCTCTCGAAAACTTCTAAGGCCAACTCAGCAGATGTTGTCATCGTTAATGCCTCTGTATCATATAGCAGGACGGCAATAATGAGTGACTTATAGAGTTTGGGTTTTGTTCGTCGAGAGAGGGCTTTAMTTCTCAATTGCCTACTCATTCCGAAGTAGCACCTATTGGCAAGAGTTATTCTGCGTTGGATTTCGAGACTGACATTGTTGTTGCTGTTAATGTTGGTTCCATGATAGACGAAATTATCTACAAATTCGAAGTTATGACTATCAAAAGTGACGTTGGAGCCTAGTTGCGAGTGCGATGACTTTTGTTTTGATGACAGGAGATATTTCGTCTTGCCCTCGTTCACTGCCAGACCCATCTGCTTCGCTTCCTTATCTAGTTTGGAGAAAGCAGAACCAAAGGCGCGGGTGTTGAAGCCAATGATATATGTAAATATCATCGGCATACGACAGCAGCTGTACACTTTTATAGAAAAAAATTTAGATTTCAACTTTCTAGAAATAGTTCCAAGGTGAAGGTTTAAAAAACATGCTGTGATGGAGAATCTTCATCAAAAACTGAAAATTGATTTGCAAGTCGAAGAAAATAGGCATCGTAATCGCGTTGGGGAAAGTCGAGTATCGAAAGACCGCTGTAAAATGTACTGTAAAAACCTTTTTACCAAAAAAAAAAAATAATAATAATAATACAAAAGAAGTAAGGAAGGGCTAAGTTCGGGTGCAACCGAACATTTTACACTCTTGCAAGTTGGTGGAATCAAAGTCAGGGAAATACCTTATGATGTCAAACGTCAACCTGAGAATCGGGATCTAAGCAATTTTATATACAGTGAAACTTCGATAAGTCGTAACCTCAATAAGCGAAAAACCTTGAT